CCGGACAACAACAGGCGGTTGACAAAAGTAGAAGTCACTGTTTTAGTAGGGAGATTAGAGTTTTCTGGGAACCTTACAAATTCTCACTTTCAATACACCAGCACTTTTGCAACAATACCCAAAAGTTCCGTGAAAAAAGTAGGTTGATCTGACTGTAAGCCTGTAAGATAGTAAGTCTCTTAGCCAAGACACTATATTTGCTCTTAACTCTCCAGATGTTCGATCACATTCAGTTAATCTATAGCTCAGCTTTTACACAAACACCATCAATCATTTTTGCCAACAATTTAATATTATCTGGGGTTATGGCAGACAAGCTCACCTCGACGCAGGACGCTACCAGCAACTAAAGATAGCGGAGAGATTCATTGGGGCGGACGGAACCCCTTATACTCCCTCGACGGGAGAGCATCAGTCCTGGCATGGCGGCCCATCCACATGACGCCCCTTTAGACCTGTCCTGGACCGCTGCCTCATGGCCGTCATTGAGGTCAGTAACCTAACCCGCAAAGAATATCGTCTTGAATTAGAAGGTAATTTATTTTCCATAAAATGGAAAATATAGCTCAACATACCAACGTGCTATGCTAATTGTCAAACAACTTACAAAAAACACAACACGATTATCTTTTCATGTGGAAATGATAAAGTCAACTTTACCTTGAGTAAAGCAAGTTGGTGGGAATGGTATTTATTGACCAAAGAGTAACAACTCTTGAGATTTATGACGCATAAGTATCCACAAAAGGTTTTGGATGATAGCAGACTGACTACGTGTATCAGGCCAGTCAGTCCATCGTGGTGTGGACCAGTGTAGGTGCTCACATGTCATGTGCCCACAGGCTGGACTGTACGAGAGATGAACGACGACCTGTTGCGTCAAGTCAGATGGAGAGTCAGAGAGGTACAAGCAACAGGAGACAGAAAAGAGACAGAGTCGACAGCAGCCTGAGGTCCTCACCATCACACACCTGCAGGGAGCCTTTATGCTGCTGCTCCGGTTCGGCGGCTGAGTCTCCTCTTCGTGAACCTCGCTGTATAGCTTTGCGACACCAAAGGAAAATTTCACATAACACCAAGTTGTTTTAATCTTATTCACTTAAAAATTATATTGCAAGGAACAAATGAAAGATAACCGATTACTGAAAATAATTAGTCATAATTTTCCATTCGCTATGTGTCGTAGGCACAAACAAAGCCAGTTTTCATGCATTTTAGAAACTTTATACTGTACTTCTAACTTTAAAAATATTCCAGGTTTATTTCATAGATACGTTTTTCAACTTAGATACTACGAAATTTATGGACTATAATTTAATAAAGCATTTGGCTACCAAAAATGTATTCGCTCCTTTCATCGCTGTGAACGATGGATTCCGCTAAACCACTGTTTCTATAAACAGGAAAAAGATGAGCAGCGTCACTTGTCTTGACTATTTATATATGGCTAGTTTGCCTGAGGCTATGTCGGATAATTAAAGGTAAAAGTGGACCTTAGTAGCCACCTGAAAATTGCACCCCAGGTGTCCTAATTTGAAGTTTAATCACCCAAAACTATATTGGAGGGTATTTCAGATGTCCCTAATGCCAAAATTGCAGAATGGTCTCGCCCTCGATCTGTCTCTAATTCTAAAGGTTTCGGTATTAGTGGTCTGACAGAAACCATATAGAGTAAATTATTCCTGTTATAATTATTTTATTTGTTTTACTTTTTGCTCTATCTGCTTCTATAAGAGTCAATATAAACTCCCTGTATGGTCTCTACGAAATATTTAACGATTGAATTTTCTTTTAGCTCTTCGAACAATTTTTATTTCATAAATTTAATTTATCATAACCAGCAAATTTCCAAATGTATTGTGTAATTTTGTCATTCCATTGTATATTTGTTTTAAAGTCAATAAGTGAGACACTATGCATGTTATAAGTGAGTGTTTATTTGTGCAACAAAAATTAAAATAATTTCTTTTAATTAAT